ATATATATATATATATATATATATATATATATATATATATATATATATATATATGCACACGCGCGCATGTATATATAGGGATATCTAGCTCTAGATTGATACCCTAAAATGTTACAAGCCTATATATTGTTCGGATATTGTTGTTGAAAATGGAGACAAGATTCTTTCTCGGCGTCCCAAGGTTTGAGGAACCATAAACGGAAAATTTCGCAAACAATATTCCCTCGTGACCAACATTATATAATCTTCATAGACACATTCGATATAACTGCTTGTGATATGTGTACGAGTCATGTGTCAAACGAATGTTTCTAATTTTTATAGTTTCATGTGCGATGAAATTATATCTTTGTCGAGAGATTTTAAAAAATTAGACGTACGAAAACTACACACTTTAGAACTTAATAATTTATAATTTAATAGAATATATATTTCAAGACAGTTATCGCGAGTGTGTGTCACACAAACCGCTTGCGGATTGCACAACATATTACTTATTACGCGTGTATACATTTTATATACGACGTAGGGAAATACCTCGACTGTAAAAACTTACCGTTATCATTAAATTATCATTATCGTCAAATAATTCATAGGACGAATATAATGTACATTATGTACACCTCAAACATTGGCGTTTTCATAAAATTCGCTAATCTGTAAATTTGACCGAGCAGTCTTCAAAAGTTTATGATCATCGGATTTGTATATAAAACGAGTCGAATTAGTATTATCAGTAATGACACAAAATACGCAAGTAAGTTGCCAAAAGCTCTCTCTCATTGCAATGATGAAAACCTAAATTTACGTACTAGTCAAAGTTTGTTGTTGTGGATTATATTCCAATAAAGCTATCGGAAACGTCTTGATGTGCGTTTGCCATTGCGCTGATAGTTGAAAAAACTTTACGCCATACCACTCTGTACCGTCAATGCTCACTGTAACAAAAACAATAAGATCGATTAGATAGACACAACTTCTACCTTCAATATACAATACTTTTTTGACCCAAGAATTTTACATTGAATAAACCACACAATTATTGGTATTCCTAATTGGCATTCTACAAAAATCTGGTTTTTCATGCACAACCAGCATTGCAGCTAAGCTTCTTGCATGTATTCTATGACTTGAAAAGAAATCTTTACAACTAAAACTATAAACTAATGTTTCTTCGCACGAAAAACTCGGTTTTTCTCGAATGCCGATAATTGCGTGATTTACCTTATAGAGAATACTATGCGCGATCAGTGTAACGGAAAATTACGCACAACACTAACGAAATATTGGTGATGAAAGATGGAATAAATGGAAGATGGAAAAAAAAATATATATACATAAATGAGTAACAACAAGACACTACCTCTTAGTGGAATGTTGTGAGTTTTTGCTGAACATATAAGACGTGTCACACTATCCACTGTTTGACTTTTTGGCTCGTTCTCTTTTTCCTTTTCTTTCTTTTTGCCCAACCTCATTACTAGAGAAGAGAATATTACACGTTTATATAATTTCGTCGATGGATCGCGAAAGAATAAAAAATACAGAGAGAAAGAGAAGATTGCATCATTTATAGATTACATTATTCTTACTTTTTTGTTTCTTTTCTTTCGTCATATAATTCATGGATAAATGGTGTCCTGGAGCTTCGCCCAAAGGAGGAAGTCTTTGCACGTGCAACGCTCGAAAAGCTTGACGTAATGTGCTTTTTCCCTTTTCACCTTGAGTTTGTTTACCCCAATAATCTAGCTGAAGCTCCACAGGTTCCCATCCTTCTCTCGCCGGTTGGCCCACATTAGGACTGCTAGGCGGTGTCAATTTTCCAGGTGGTGGAACGGGCAAACTCGGAGGAGGTAAAGAAGGCGGAGAACCAGACATACTGACATTACTTTCTTCCAAATCGACAGATGCGGAAGAACTGCTGTCTGGGCAACCCACGCGAACATCATTTACAAAGGGAATAAAAATTTGGCTGCTGTCATCCGTCTCCCTGTGAACACGATCGGTCCCTTTCTTTTCCATGTGCGAGCACAACGGAAATCATTCACCAATCTTCAGCAGATACAGCAGGATATTCTCTTGGACCTGTTGTAATTAATAGCGTAAAATATAAAAGGGCTCGTAAATTGCCAGAATTAAAATTGTTTTCCAATTTCTTGAAGAAACTTGTCGACGATTCTCCTGTTTTAATATTAAATCAGGAGCTTTAATTAATTTTGAAGATTAATTTTGAAATATTTTGTAGATGATAGTATGTGGGAGTTATCTGCTGAAGATTATATTATACACAACTCTCATAAATCTGCTGTTAAATAATGTCACAGATAGATCCGACTGATTACCTCGGTGTAATTTAGCGTTACCTGTACGTAACCATAGCTTCTGCTATGGGTAGCGGTAGAACGGTGTTTGCCGCGGCTAAGTATTCCGATATCCGTGCTGCGCCCTCACTCGATCCTCCTCCTTCTCTCTCCAGAAGCTCCTTCCATTCATCTCCGAAGAGCATCGAGTATTTGACGTCGACAGAACCAAGGTATCTCGTTAACGTGTTTGAACCAAGCGGCACTACCAAAAACTTCATGTAGTTTTGCCAATCTGGCGGTCTGAAACTCAGCAAGTCGACGTAGTGACGGAGAACTGCGTTGATGAAACTGTCCCCGCCAGCGATCACAACTTTTATAGGTGCGGGTGGTTTCGCGGAACTATTGCAGCTGAACAGAAAAGGAAAGAGACACAAACGTTGGGTGAACTGGATTCGAGTAAATGATATTCGCGAGTAAAGTCAACGACAATTACAATTTCTGTATGCGTGTGACCAAGCAGGTGAACGTTGCACGAATATCAGCCGGAGAAGCCGTTGTCAGCACTCTGTGATTTCTTTCTTGAAGTCTCGCGGCAAGGACAGCACCGCCAGGATCCGCTATTGACACAAGTGACACAGCTTCTGGTAAACTGTCATCCGGTAATATCCGGCCAAGCTGTTCCACCAGAGCTTTTCTCGGCTAAAATCATGAAATGTGAGATGAAATGACGGGAATTTCATCACTGCCGATATTCTCGCGAAAATATCAACACTGTTTCTGAGTAATGATGAACAGTCGAGATATATGAAACAGGCAATTACTTCCGTGCTATTCAAATCGGCCGACGGTTTTAAATCGACACTCAGACTGTGCTTCTTAGATTTGTTACTGCCGGGCGTCCCTCTATCGCGCGCAAAGAGTCTACTTCTTCTCTCGGAACTCTCACTCTTGTTAGGCTGCTCCGATTTCGGCGGTGAACCCGCTACGTAATTCGGTGGGTCATTTGCCTCGTGATCCGTCCAATTTTCAGGGTGGGAATCACTATCGGCTCTCCGAGAACTGTCATCGCTTTGTCTGTCCACTCCACGCTCTGCAATGCCATTCCGTTACTCTATAAAAGTACTCTATCGGGACAAAGGCTGCGACTTTGAATGTTGCATGTATTCAACGATACACACGGACAGGCGCGCACGCACACACACACACGCGCGCGCGAACACACACACATATACGTATGTGCGCGCATATATATATATATATACACATATACATACATACATACATATATATATATATATATAATCACACACACATACATATATACATACACACGCGCGCGCACAGAGTACTTCAGAACCACCTCTACATATTCTCGTTAAACTTATTCCAAGACAATGATAATCTCTCGTAAAGTAACGAGCAAAAAATGTATGTATATATGTATGTATGTATGTATATATATATATATATATATATATATATATATATATATATATATATATATATAATGAATTCTCTCTCATTGTGAACATTTACCCGCTGACTGTTTGCGTTTGACTGCCAATTAAAATAGTTACAAAAAATAGTTTTATTCGTTTTTTTTCTTCCTTGTCCTCCTCTTCGCGAGAAATCATCGTTGACGTGTGTTACCTACCATATATTTTTGGAATCGATCAAACTATAAAATGCTTTATTTGCATCACGAGAATTATCAATATTACATGCGAAGGAGAATTGTAATTTTTCTTTAGTTTACTTCATCGTGTGTGCTTGAAAGCGAGATGTTGGTGATTTTGAAAAACTTACAATTATATAAGTGGGATACGTGGAAAGTGAATAGAAGCACGATCATGTGCCAATATAAAAAAGTATATTAGGATTCACACGAGAAATGATTACACGCGCCAAAGTCGCCAAGTCGAACCTATTGAGAAGAACGCAGTTATAATACGATATTGAGTACAAGGTTACAAATAAAATTGTCAAGTTGTGTGCAATTGGTAGCGTTATTAAGAAAGCAGATTAAATGACTAAAATTAACAGAGTAAAGGATACGTACGTACATAAGTAGATAGAGAGATACAGGCCAGTATCACAGATTGAAGTTGAATAAAATTTACATACAGAAGCTTTAGAGACAGAGAAATGGAGAAGAAAGGAAAGAGGAGGGAAAGACGCGGACAGCAGGAAGATAGCACACACACACACGAGCTCATTTATCACATTTATAAATACATAGTAGGATGAGTTTTTTCAAAATCAAAGAAGTAAAACAATTTTCACAAAAATTTGTATAATAGGAACAACTGCAGAGGTGAGTTAAACGCCAAGATAAATTTTTATTTCCACTTGACTTATATATATACATACGTCTGTACATTTCTTGGTACTATCCTTTTGGTGAGAAAATATTAGAGAGGAATGTAAGAATAATAGAAGAAGAGACAGACGGAATAGAGGAAACATTGCCAAGTGTATAATAGCATCTATGACGTGAGAAAATTACGCAAAATCAATTTCGTACAGAAGCGTTCGATTCCATTTTAAGACAAGCGAGAAACGAGAAGTCGTGCCGCTTCGATTATTCTTGCATTCAGGCATTGGAGAGATATATTTCATTATTAAAAAGAAAGATTAACGTTTAAGCTAAATGACACGTATATGTATAAATATATATTTGCCAGTGTAAATATGTAAATCGCGAAGGTACTTAATTACCAAGTGTGATCGAAACACCAAGCTTCTGTCGATTAGCAAGGTCATTCATGCGCTCGAGTTTCTTCTCCAATCTACAAAATTGTTGTCGCTGAATCGTTTTCAATTTTTCCCTCGGGGCATACATATCTCATTAGAAATATAAGAAAAATACATTTGCATTCCGAAAAAGAGTGAGATGGACCAAGTTTCTCCTCTCTCGATTCAGACACGTTTCTCGTTGCTTGTTAGATAGTCTTGATAATAGTCTTGATAAATTTAATCGTGGAAAGGAGGAAATAAGGACCAAGTAGACATAACTCGCTCGAAAAAAGACAAAAAAAAAGGAAAGTAACAGAAAAAAGAAACATTTACGAGTAATTACGTTTTCTCTAAAAAAAAATAGATATACATGTTTTTTTGACACTGCATGCTATATAAAATATCAGACGCAGATACGTGCTGTTTGGTAAGAAGCAGAGTCCTTAGAACGTTCCAACTTCGTCCTCACAAGTTTTGAGTAGATTGATGAATATTAACATACCTGGCGTGGTGTGTCCAATACGGTGTTTCTCTTTAGCCGATTGACTCGCGGGCTGCTGACATGTGGTAGTTGCGGAGACAGTTCCAGTATCCTCGCTGGTTACTACTATCGAATCGTAACATGCAACAATGCAAAGCCAACCCACCAGACTTCCACTTAGTTCAGAAAGATTTGTATCTGAGAGTAAGCTACGGAATTTAAGGAGGCTAGTTCTTAGTGGGTAACGATATATAATGTCAAAGTCGCAATAGTTTTCGAGTTAGAAGCGACCAAAATTAATCATAGGCATTTACGCGCTCAGACCTGTAATTATACGGGTACCGATCACACGGTTGATATTGATTTTTGCTGCGTAGTACGAATCGATAAAATACCTTGCCATATGTCAGATGTATGTGTGTGTGTGCATATGTTTGTTCTTTTGTGTGTGTGTGTGTGTGTGTGTGCGTGTGTGTGCGTGTGTGTGTGTGTGGTGCGTGCGTGCGTGCGCGCGCGTATGTGTATGTGAGTATATGTCACGTTCTACTGAATACATACTAGAACGACGAAGACGACGACTGACTCACCAGAATGAGGCGGTGCCAGTAGGGATCGACTAGAGCTGAAAAAGGGCCTCAGCGATGGCTTCGGTGTGCTACTAACGGACATAGTATCCAATTCCGGTCCGCTATCCGACAAGTCTTCCAATTCGTCGAACAATTCCTCTATCTCCATATCGCCACCTTCGATTACATAGAACAAACAGATGAGACGAACAAAGCAGGAGCTGATGACATTTTGGACACGTTATTAATCGCAATAACGAAATACAATGCACGCGTCTAGCTAATCGTAAAATATGTACGTAATCTATGTAATATTGAACGTACCTGAAAGTTTCTGTCCAATCTCTTCTTGATCATGTTCTAACTCTTCTGACACCCTAAACCGCTTTAAAAGAGCTATAAACTTTTGCTTTAAGTTTCTTTGCTGCAAAACATAATACGGCTGTTATTAACACTGATAAAATCTCGTTCAATACACGGAATCTGGCGAAACAATCGACCGAAGAATCCAATTACTTCGGGAAAAGTTCTCGAATTTTTATACACGTGAAATACCGGACAATATGCAACGCGAACGTTGTGACGTATATAAATGCATTATAAATGCGAATGCGCGACTTATGTTGACATTTGCATAGATCGCTCTAGCTATATGTGCAATCTCCCGAATCAGTCCGCGGTATCGCTGTAGCGTTAAGCTACCGGTTAATATGAAAAATATTTGCGCGCACCCTGGCGTTTGTTGGAATCTTCCCACGACTTTTCCGCCTGTGCACCTCTAACGTGGGTTCGCTGTCACTGCCCTCCGCCTCGCCTTCCGAGCTAAATTCCTCTTCTTCGTCACTAAATTCTGGACAGAGCCTCTCATTTGGGTCGTTTGTCAGTCTTTTATCGTGATCGACCGGCTGGGAAGTTAACGCGACGACGCTTACGCGCGCCAGCGCGACCGAATGACCGCCGTATTTCTCCGCTTTGTCCGATATCAGTTCCAATTCGAGATCCATCTGCCGCTGCAGCACCTGTTGGATGTTTGCTCGTCAATGCTCGTGATTTTCGCTCCTGGCGCCCGACAAAAGCCGGCAAGGACCGACACGCGGACTTACTTGCGCCATGTTGACGATTCCTTCCGCAAGAGTTTTGTATCCGAGCATCGTGCGATTTTTGTATCGTTTCCGCCTCTGCAGCAATATCAAGAGCTTGTTACCATCCCTCTTGAGGAAATGTGGATATTGAAGCGCAAATTGTAATTCTAATTCGGTGTCGAGTATACCGCCGCTCGGTATGGCCATCTCGTTGGAACGCAAAGTTCTCTTGGAACTCTGCATCTTGACCGCGATGCTGATGGACGCCAAGTCTGAGCCAAGTGGACGAAGAATCACTAAACGAGTCAACGTCAAGGAACATAGCCTGGAAAAGCGCGACACAACGATGCAGCATTAATCTACAGCCACAAAGGCGCGCATGCATACTATGTGCATTGCGCGATCGATCGATCGATGACATTGCGCGGCTATTATTCTCCTCGCCGATTGAATTAACAAAATTCACGTGAATATACATTTCATTCGGTATGTACTACATCTCACCTTACCTGAGTGATCATATACGTGTGCAATGCATGTTATCGTAATGATGTGTGCCACGTGTATGAGAGACCGTTTATTTAAAAAGAGAAATGAGAAACTAAGAAATAGGTACACAAGCGTGTTTCTTATCTCGGGTCTTGGGTCTCTTGAAACACGCATCACTCGATAGAGTATCATCTCCCCCCCCCCTCAA